ACACCAGAAGAATGGAGTCTTTTTGCCTGTTGTTGCCTTTTGCTGAGGGAGAGTACAGCAGAAGGCCCAAATATTCTATCTGAAATACTAAATGCTATGCAAATGTCCTGCCTTCTGTGGCCACAGGTGATTTCCATTAAAATGGAGAGGAATTATTCAGTTATAAAGCCGTGTAGCTCACTTGGTTGACTGCACCCGTGTAGGTTCGAGTGTGAAATAGTAGATGCTCTGAAAAGGGTGAATTCTTGGCTCAAGGAAGCTTGGAGTACTTGGAATTATTCAAATTACTGGTCAGGTGACACGCATCTGTAGGCATGTTCATGCAGTGTTACAGCTGTAACTTTGAGCCTTCTTTCCAAATCTGAGGATTTGTCCAAATGATTCAGTCCTCCCTTCCTTATAGTGGTAGAATTGCCAAAATAATTACAGGACAAGGGAGCAAAGGTCAGTCCAGGAGCAGGAGACCACCTTTTTCCTGTCTGCAGCCCCAGGGTTTGAAAGGATACAGATGCTAAAGAGAACCATATAATAGAGGTATTAAGCATTCCTATGTTGTAGGATATAGTGCTAAGAGAGAGAAAAGAAACAACCAAAAACAACCCCACAGAGCAGTTTACAGAAGACAAGTTTACAGGGTCAGAATTTCATATTAAGGGCACATTGTTCAAAACCAAAAAAAATGAAAGTTTCTCTTTTATTAAAAGCTAACACATCTCTGGTTTGAAAAATGAACCCCAAAATTATTGTTCGCACATGGGTACAAAGTATTTTGCATCGAGAATACTCAAAACAACCAACAGAAATCAGGTTGAGGGAAAAAAAACAAGCAGTAGTGAAATTAATCTGAAAATTTCTAACTTTGGTTTATGTTAATTTTTTAATCATTTGATGGTATTGCTATGTCTTTTTTAATTTACCAGTCAAAATTAAATAGCATAGTGATCACTTCTCAGGTCTCCTGGACAAGAGTACTCCAAGATTCAAGGACAACAGGACTCCCTTTTTTTTCTATCTTGATCTTCAAAAACATTTGCACATTTTGTCTGCTAAGTCAGGACACCTCAGGTACAAAAGATGCTTGCAAACATCCTAAAAGAAGACCACATCCAGTCAGGAAAATAAAAACAAACTCTAAATCGAAAGAGTTTTCTCAGTTCCAGAGGTCAACCACAGTGGTGGTAAAGCAACCAGAGGATGCTGCATTTATGAAAGATTACAAATGTTTAATATGCAGAAGAATTTTCCTACTGAATGCACAGGGATGAAGATGGAGACAGGTAGAGTGACTTGGTCTATGCAGAAAGCAGCAGAGTCCTGTGCTAGGATGTTGACAGGGCACCCAGAAGCCCAGGGCAATGCTCTGCCCAGGTTCCCAGGCATGAGAGCCCACAATAAAATTCAAGTCAGCCTTCTCATTCTCTCACCATACATCTCCCTGGCTGACAATAAAGAGCAAGTCTGTCTGGCTGTAATATATTATTGTGTAATTTTTCCACCATTCCAGAGAAAGGTCAACTCTGGAACAGATTATTCTACAACAGCATTTACTGTTTGGGTCGGTGGACTAAACTCCAATAACATACTCATATACAGAAACCTCTTTCAACAGAAAAATCCCCTATATTAAACAAATAATCCAAATTCACCCTAAGACCACGTGCTCAATTTCACTTCTAGTCCTCCCATTTTCATGAATGTTCAGTTCAGCTTCTTAGTAGGGCTCAGGGTGCTGTAGCTTTATTATGCAATGAACAAAGTCAAGGGAGTGATATTAGATATTGATCCAGGACTATGGGTGTCAGCTGCAGCCCTGCTCTCCCAAGCATGCCGTCAGCACAAGCTTCCTTCACCAGGCAGTTTAACCAGCAATCATCTGAAGGCCATAAAACCTTCTCTCCTCATTCCAAAACTGACATCTCCCAGGGCTCAAAACTGTTTCCCTTACCCTGGAACGTTTCCAGAGATGTTCTAAAGAATAGTGAGCTATTACTCAGGGACTATTCTCATCTGTTGGATCTTTGCTCTTTAATAAAGAAAGAGCAGCATGGCAGCACCCAGGGCAGTTGTGCACTTCCTGCTATCTGACGCAATTATATTGCAGATGCTGCAATTCCACACAAGCTGAATATTCAACCCTTACTGCTTCTGGCTTTTTAATAATAGACAACTTTCAGAAAACCCTTGTTATCTCCAGTTTAACATCTCAGACTTGGTGACAAGAAAGAACTGGGAGGAATTCATTTGGAAAGACTCAATAGAATAAAAATTGTTCAATGGAGGCCCCCAGCTGCAGGCTGTCATGCATGTTGAAGTCATTACATACTCATCATGACATTTGAACACTGCATTCAACTCTAATCAGTCTTTATACAGCATAAGAACTATAATTATAAAGTGATTTTGACATCAGAAATGGCATTGCAGTACCTCACTTAAAAATACCCACCCTGAAAATAGGATGCTAAGCCTTGTGTTTAGCAGAGGGACAGTAAGTTAGGCACGAAATCAGACTTTGGTAAGGAGAAACCCAGTCTGGCAAGAGACTTAGCTATCAAAAATAAGGATTAAATGTATGTTGAATTCTGTGCTCTCTGGCATTTCAGCACCTTGCCCTTGGCTTTTCCTTGGACCAAAGATTGGAACTCTTTCCTAGAAGTTTTGAATGATGCCTTTTCTCCTAAAGGGAGTAAGGGAAGAAAGGGTAGAGGCAGGATGGATCGTCAAACAGCAAGCACCATGCACTGAGCGTGGGCCAGGACTGAGGCACGTGTCAGTTTGTGCAGAACCGAGACGTGATTCAGCTTCTTCTTCCTGTTTAAAACACTTCAGACTGCTCAAGACTATTTTCTGCCAGCAGGTCTCTGATGGGAACGTAAGACAGGCAGCGCTGATATTCAACATCTGCCCTCAGAAGCGGTGCTTCTGTGACCCAGAGCTATCCTACAACCTAATTCTTCTCTGTCCACAATTCAGCTGAATTACTGTAAAAGCAGAACCAAAGCTCTCCCTTTTCCTTGTTACACACATCAGGCATCAGGTATTTTTATTCATCCCCACAAATTAAATATTTTCTCCTGAAAAGGCCAGAATGTTAGCTACTCATAAACCTGTAAGCACGTACGTAATGACAAAAAAAATTTTAAGGTTGCTCAGCCAAGCACAAACAGCTGTGATACCAACAGACAAGACAATAAATCTATTTTCACAAGCTGACTGGGCACAGTAAAGCAAAATATAGTCATGGACGGAAAAGGAGTTCCTCTCTTAGGAATAAAAAATGTTAAATTATTCTGATTTCAATATAAGTATGCATATCGTGTAATCTAACAAAAACCCCAAAAGACATTTTTGTTATGTGTTTGGGTGCCTGTTAGTGAGTGAGAGGGTGCCAGGTTCCATTTTCCTCATCTATTACATGTAAGTGCTTAAATGACTATGCCTGCAGTCGGTAACTTTTCACATAACCAAGCATGGTTTGAAGTAGGTCATGGTCAGCCAAGGCAATGCACTTTTTAAACATCCAAAAGGTAAGAGTAATTTCTTCCCTTTCCATCTCTGTTATGGTTCTATTAAAATAAACTAAATATTTTCACCTCATGTTTAAATTCAAATCAGCACAACTGACTCACCTGAAAGATAATGTCATGACGTGTATTATAGCAGAACATCTTATGATGGAAACCCTTGTGGGAGATTATATTAAAATATCACAAAGAAATAGTCAACCTAAATTATCTCCTGGCATTGAAGAAAAAAATCTATACCTACAATACAATTCTGGGGAAGGGTTCAAAGACCTTCTTTAAAAAACAGATAATTCCTATAAAATATGCACATTTCTAATGTAATTTATGTAGAAAACCTTATTGGTTTCTTTCCTGTTAAATGCCATAGGACTCTTCATAATGGAATTAACTTCAGAAGAAAAAAATACATTTAAATTTATTTAAAGCCATGAATTAATAAAACCATTTTCTGACCTACATTTGAAAAGGACAAGACTAGCCTAAAATGAAAACACAACTCCTCTGAGATTTTGTAACTCCTCTGGAAGTTTGACAGCTTGCTTAATTAGACCTACAACATCAGACATAAAATTCAACTCAGACTCACGTCTTCTCATTCACACAAACTTTAGAGTGTCCAATATATTGAAAGAATGCTAAATTCAATTTTGTCTTCTGGAAGAGCAAGTATAAAATAAAAGTATTCAAACAACTGTGTGCATTTACAAATAAATTAAAATGCAGCACTAGTTCTGCTACAATTCATAGAAAGTCTTCAAAACAACAGTTTCTACATTGAAAAGAATTTCATATATGCAGTAATCCCAAAAGTCACTATTTAATCAAGTGTGGGGAAAGAGGTGACACTTAATAGCTCTCAAAACAAGCTCTGCAAATCAGTTTAACAACTCCTGTTAATCCAGAGATTAACAGATTCGACAAATGAGGTTTGCATTGCATTTACGTCTTCAGTGAAAAGAAAAATAACAGTGAAAAGTAAAGCCCCAAATATATTAGATGAATTATTTTAATCTGCAGGGTGAACAGCCATTAACAAAGCAGTTATACTTCATTCTGGAAAAATCTCAAGACAGTAAATAATATTTCTGAAGAACAACAGCACCCGTTTCTATTCCAACTAAAATTTCCAGCCTCTTCATTATATTCTTTTATAAATACAGTTATATAAAACCATATATTTTAAAAATATAGCATATTTATTTTTCACACACTCTCATTTGCAAGACATTAATATACAAGTCCTATGCTAAACACCCTGATAGTGAGGTAAAGGTGTGGCAGACATGGTAAAGTACCCTTATCTAAAAATGTTAAGCTGGCACAGCCGGTGTGGGGACACAGGACTGACAGTCAATCACTTCATGCTGTAAAAGTCCAGTCCCACTTACAAAGGGCAAGTTCTTCTAACACATTCCTTCTTAGAGTGTGTGTGGAGATTCCTGCCCTGGGTGGGGATGGCCCTCGAAGTTACTCCTCAAGGATGAGTGGAAGAGATTTACCCATGGTCATTGGTCTTGGTGAGTAACATCAATCTCTATTTAATAATTGGGTTTTTTGCTAGTTTAAATATAATTGCTTTGATATAGTACACTATACTATACTAGTCATTTTAGTTTCTATGCTGTGCAGTAAATAATTCTGATTAAGACCTTTTGTCCAATCATTTTTCATAATGAATCACTCATTTTTATATAAGTGTATGATTTGCCATCCTTAACCCCGTGGGACAAAGTTGTGCAAAGGTTCAATTACACCTCTATAACTCCTTAGACTTAAACCATGGACAAAGCCTGAGGTTAATATTGGATCCAGCTGCACACAAGCTCCTCTCTGAGCAGAACCTGGTTATATTCAGATGTAATGTTGTAACATTTCTGTAAAATCTGCAGTTAATGATGGACACCTGAAAGTGATGTTATTATCAGTGTAAATCATCTTATCATAATAAGGAATTTCCCTGTAAAAGTATTTTACATGGATGAGTATCGGCATTAATGTCTTACTATTTTCACCAGGAATGAATCTTACTGTAAATGTCACAAAGACATCAGTGGATACAAGATTTTATTCCTTTGGAAACATAAGGACTAGGGAATATAATTATTTAGGTGGGAAAAGTTAAATCTTCCTTTCATCACTTGTAATTCTTCACTCAGAGTAATAGCTTCTATTCTTATGGTCCTGGCATTTTACATAACATGGGAGTCAGATATCCTGTCATTCCAAGAGGTATAAACACAAGCTATTTAACATTAAGCAGGATGCTAAGCAAAGAAAATGGCATTCTGCAAATATTAAATTTCAGGGTAATTTATCACCACCTTCCACCCTGTGGAAGCACATCTATGCAAAGGTATAGTGAAACTTTCTGAATAGCATGAAGGAAAGCACTGGCCTTGGAAGCTTTCACTTGGTGCACATGTTCTTCCCCATCAGAAGGTATGAAGCTTTTTAAAATGCTCAGTTTTAAGTCAGAAAAACACGTTCTTCAGGTTCTAAATATGTTTGTGGAAGTTGTAGTGTGTAATTAGACCACAAGAAGCTTAATAGAAAAAAAACCCAAATCAAACCAAAACATTGCCCACCAAGCAGATATTACTAAAAATAAAAAAATACATACATTTAGCCTAATGGTTGCTTTAATGATATGAGATCTGTGCACTGTTCATACTTAACAGTAGGTCTTAATATCATGAGGACACTTCATTTTGTGGAACAATAAGCAGAGTTCTGGGATCTTGTTCATTACAAACTTGTTTTTTGCTCAAAAAATTAGCTGCTGGCTTTTAGAATTACACGTTGGAATAGAGATAGAAGCTGTTCTTCAAATATGTAGACATAATTCCTGAGACACTCAGAAACATCTGTGCTCAAATGATACACTGACTATTTGCTTGTCATTAAATTCTGTCACAGATAATCAGATATATAATAGTACTGTATTGCTCCTCTTCTGTTTCTTTCATACGAATTTATATTTTCATGGTTGAAACAAACTTCCACTGCTATTTTTCCAAGTCACGTCTTGGCTTTCTGGAGTGTACTCACCAGCTTCCCTCTTGGTTTGCTTTAATTTGTGCTCTTAACAGCACCCAACAGAAGATGTGCTGCTGTGACAGCACTTGTCATAACATCACACTTGACAATCGTTTGGGGAAGGGGGGGAGAGAGAAAGAGAGAGATGGGAGGATGCAGAGATTCCCTTACAAGATTTGTACACTTCTATGTCGAGTACTGAATATAAATATATTCCAAACCTTGTTCAGAAAACTATTTTTAAAAAGGCACCTGGCTGAAAAATGTTGTGGAAGATCATTTTCTATTTATACAGGATATCAATCACACTGGGGCATCCTTCCCATTCACCTGATGCACAACTACCACCTTGTGAGTACAGTTTATACCCGTGAGATCAGCCTCTGGCTTTACAAACTCCTTAAATAAGTAGCACCTCCCACCTTGGCAATCCAGTTGCAATTCTTCTGTTAACATAGTTATTAAATACCAGCTGAAATTTAGTCATTGACAAGTCAAAAACTAAAACTGGAGATAAATAGGAAGCATAACAGCAGTAATGAAAACATATCTCAGTAAGCCAATAGTAGAAACGTTTTGCAACAGGCAGTTAAAAAGACAAATAGAATTTATCTTCCATAACAGGCTTATTGTACTTTGTTATTTTTTTGTTTTCAGCCTGTCACTGTAGTAACAGAAAGACCTGCAACATTAACAGTTCCCACAGTGCCACATTAGTGCTTGACTGTTCCGTAATGCCCATTTGTATCCAACACTGCTGCAGTTCAGGGGCTCCTCTAATCTGACATGAGACTTGGATAACACAGACTACTTCAGTCACACCTCAGTTTCACACTCAGTGCAACTTCATTTTATGCATTGTTCGAAAATATATTGGGATAAACTTCACATTTGCAATCACTCAAAACATATAGTCACGATTAATTTGCAGCCTGAGTTTTACTGAGATTTCTAGAGTCCTTTAAGATGATGATGAGAAGCCAGCCAGTTCTAAAAGGCACGTTTGTCTACCATAACTTGTAGCAGAGTATGCATAATCTGTAGTGCTTGAAGAAACTTTCCTTTTGTAGTCTGAAGAGTTGCTCATAAAGAAAGTCTGACTGATAACTGGGCAGGCTTAAAGAGAAATTTGTAATTTACTTACAGTCAGCTCTCAATTGGAAGTGGTTCACACTCAGTGATATCCCACCAAAAAGTCCAAACCAATCTACAGTAGCTGGGCACAACTGTTTTAATTCATGTTTTTTAAATGATAACTTGTTTCTGGCATGGAATGTAACTTTATCTGAATCCAAAGTCTGCATTCAGCTAGAGAGAATAAACAGGCATAACGTTGCCACAGAAACATCATACTAAGGAGATTTGGACTTGATCTACAGTTCACAGAAAAGCCAGTCTTTCTTTTTAAATGCTGCAGCCAGTCAGCAAGTACTGCTTCTGAAGATGCATTTAAGTAAGAGCCAGCATGAAGCACTTATACTTCCCACTTACTCTTCCACCTGCACTGCTTTTTCTCCACAACCAGTCACAAAACCTCCCACGTGCTCCCAGATGCTGGCACCTTATCCCTGCACAGGTCCAGTGTTTCCTTGGAAAGGCTCACTGTCTGCCCATTTGTTTTAAAGCTGGTAATTAGCAGGAACACACTTTTTTCACCATGAATGTATATCAGAGAGCAATAAAGGGCTTTCTCTTCTCATTGCTATTCTCTTCTAGTATGGGATTAAAACATTAACATTCTCAGACACTGATGCATCCTGAAAAATATGGCAGCAATTTCTGGAAACACCAGTAAATAAAGACAATTTTCTGCAACAAGATTTGTTGGCAACACAATACACTGGCAAAATTCTGGCAGTTTACCATTTATTCATTATTTCCTGAATTTCACTGTGGTTAATGGGATGCAACCTATATGGCCTGTGGGATGATTTCTCTTCAATTATTCCTAGAGCCTTCATTAAATATAGTCAGTCACAAGGAAAGTAGAAGTTTCATGTAATTTTATGAAGATTTTCTACAAATCATACTATTTCAAATGCAATAATAAAGAAATCGCATAGTTCACTTATTATTAACCAACATACTAGAATTATATATATTTCTTCTAAGTGTGAAAAATGTTCTTGTCTTTCTGCATAACCCTGACACATTTAATTGTTAGAACTTCCTAGAACTTCACTATAATGTTATATAATTGATTTTTACCTTTAGTTTTCCTGTTTCTATTCTCTATTCCTTTTACTGTGATGTGGCATTTCACTGTAAACGAAATCCTAAAATTATTACTCATGAATTTATCACTAGACACAGTCCAAGTGTCTAGGTAAAGTTCAGGTATGTTCTTGTTTCCAGGACACAACTGAGGCAAAGAAGCATTGGTACATTCATGGAATCACATACAGGTTACCATACATTTCTTATAAATGTCAGAACATACACCCATGGGTATATACACAGCATGGTATGCATATTCTGTCACCCATGGTGACAGAATAATTTACATATCACTGCAAGTTTTATCCTTAAGGTCTAGTCTGACACTCTACACAAAAAAAAAGGAAAGAGAAAAATGGTACACATGGTATGTTGTCAGACATTGCAGCATCTGCTGACTGCAAACATCAATTTGTGATGCTTTGTTTTTGTACAGCAAGTGTGTATTACTTTTGTCTGAAGGTAAAGGTTTAATTTTTAAGTCACATTTCCAGGATGAAAGAAAAAGAAATGCATGTCTGTGTCCTTCATCTCTTGGGTTTTCCCCCATCCCTGCAATATTGATTTAAAATGTGTGAGTGAGCCCAAGTGTTCAACACTGAGCAAATGTATCAGGTTTAAAAAAAAAAATAAAAAAATAACACAAACACACACAAATAGTACAAGTACACTTAAGTATGAAAATACCAGTGCCTTGTAGAAGACTCTGTAGGATGTCCTTGCTCTCACTGTCCTCTTCACAAAGCCCTCTCTTTGGCAAGAGCCTAAACATTTCTCCAGTCTAAAGATGCAGCTCTACAGTAGAGACCCACTTTAGTGAGTGGTCAACTAGTAAAAAAAAAAGAATCAAAGAGGAAAGTGTTAGAGCAGCTGTATCAAGCCAACTTTGAGCAGGAAAAAAATTCAGCCAGAATATATACATATATATATATTTTTAATGGGGTGCTTTATGACTGTACCAGTCTCTTGGAAGCCTGACACTATGGTAGGGAACAGACTGCAAACCCTTGTGTCAAACCAGTATTTGACATGCAGAAGCAAGACATGAGAGCCTGAAAATTCCTTTCCATAAGCAAGATACAAAACTGGTGCCCCAGGCAGGGCTGGAGAATATTAGGTGCCTGCAGAGACCAGGAAGAATGCACAAAGGCCAAGAATCATCTGCTCCCATTCTCATCCAGTAGCGGGGAAACTGGCTGCATTTTACTTCTTTTAGAAGTCATTTTATGCCAAATAGCTCTGAGTCTATCTCTGCTAACATGCTAGAGGGAGGAAGCATATGCATGGCTGTATGGCTTGGAAAAGAGTGTGTTGTACAGCGATTTTTCAGACTGTGGAGCAGCACAAAGGCAAGCAGAGTGCAAACTGACCTTAAAAAGCAGTGAAATCTTCCTTTTTGGTTTTAATCACCCTTGTACTCAAACAGAAGCTATTTCATGAATTGGATTTATCCCTAGAAGTGGTGACTGTAAACAGATGTTCTTTTGGCAGTCCCTAATTACTGTCTAACTGAGGAATTCTGGACTGACAAATGCATCATATGAACGTGCTCAGCACAGTACCTAAAACCCTTCTTTGCTTTAACTAGAAATTGGAAGGAGCTTCATCAAAGATTCAGAGTTTTTCATTATATGCTGGATAGTCAGCCTAATAAGACTTCCACATGCTTTTACAGATTTTATTCAAGGATATGATGCTACTGAGTTGTACAGTGAATTATCCCAGAAATATCAGTGCTGCATATGTATGGCTTTTTGCACATTAGAAAAATGCACAGACAAAAAGGCTTGTATGTATTATGCACATTTTTAGTCACCAACTAGCAACATCCTTAAACCTTTAAAGTTGTCTTGCTTCTGTGGAGCAGATTGTGACGATCTATGAAGAAAGATGTGAAACTAATGGAAAGGGATTCATTGCTAACAAAAAAAGTTATGAAGATTGGCTGAAAATCCATGATGCAAGTTAAGGCATAGCTTAAAAAATGCTCAGTTTTCATGGACCTCAACAAAAGCTGTACTCTCAGAGATCTTATAGAGCTTGGATTGCAGTCTGAACTTCACTGTAATCCCTAAGCTAAAATCTAAAATGAAATTTGAGAAAACTCATGAAGTGAATGCTGAATATCTGTGTCCGTAATCTAGAATTAAGCATTACCCCATATTTGCTCATCTCTGCTTAGAAAGGGTTAGAATAATAAATAAATAATAAAAAACCCCAACCCTTGCCACCATCTTTTTAAAAAAAGTCTCAAAAGCTTTCAATGTTGTTGAGAATTAGTACATTTAATCTGCCATGCCATTAATTGTGTATTTTCATCTAACTGTTGCTCACAGATCCCATGTCCTTCACAACATTTTCTGCAGAATCCCACCTAAGTAAAGGGAAAAAAATTAAAGTTCATTATTATTTCACTGCTAATATTCAACTATGCTCATACGCATTATCTTCCCTCTGAAGTTAGAGATTTAAGAGCTAGTTTTCCACATTGTCCAAAACTAGTCACTGCCTAGAAATCTTTGTCATTTGTTTGAGGTAGACAAATCTAAGGTTCTTGCCTTAGAGAAACTCTTGAGAGTTTCTCTAAGACAACACAAAATACTAAGTCACTAAACTGTGCTCATCCTATGCAACCATCTCTTTTCTCTTGGCCCACAATCCGTTATAATAATAAAGACCCTGATTTGGAAGCAGTAAGAAAAGATCCTTATATTATTCTACCACAAATGCTGTTGGAAGTAAAATGAAGGTACTGAGGCGAGATTGAACTTATGTCTTAAGATTTCATAACTTTTGTGGTGGGAATCAACCTCCCCATATATAAATAAAATGCTACAAATAAAAATTGCCAGTTATATTTTGTTAATTCCTTACAGTAATACTCAGAGCCTGCCACTCATGTGCTTTGCATGGAAGACTTCACACAACTGGCTGCTCTTGAACTCCTCAAACATGAAGAGGCCAGATCAAAGCAGCTGAGGCTCTAAAACCAGCGCTGTTGCCAACTTCAGTCTGGTCTGTATGCCCAAAGTGCAGCAGAATTCTTTGCAGCTAACCACTTGTGGGAATAATTCCGCTTTTAAATTTAGAAAGACAGCAAAAACTCATGAAACAGACGAAAGAATTTATTCAGCATGCTGGGTCTGGTCTCACACTGAGTTTTTTGGGGAGAAAGACCCTTTGGAATTAAATTCCATACATTTTATAGTTTCACAAAATCCCACCCTTTTCAGATAAGTTTAGTATATTCATTTTTGCCTTAAAAGGTTTCTTTTCTCTGAAAAAGAGGCTTTCCCTTCTTTCTGATTGGCTGTAAGGTGTCCTCTGTCAAAAATGATGGATCTTCCTTTGTTCTTAGCCCAAAGAGAGAGAAGAAACCCCTGTGTACAAAATTTCCACGTGGCCCTGAAAGATTTTAAAGAACTTTTATATTTCCCTTATCCAGCCAAAAAAGACCCTGACACCCAGTCCCATTTGGAACTTGGATATCTTACAACTTCGCGATACACCTATATATATAAAAAATCGTATTTTATCTCTCATAACTTACTGGCTGAATTATACATATTTTACAGAGCACCTAAATGGCCCCAAAGAGGCCAGGGCAGTGGTGGGATCACTCTCTTCCAGCCTGACCTGCCGGTCTGTAACCAAGAGGGCTCCACAAGCACATTCCTCTGTACTGCAGGTGGCATTTACACTCATACATGAACTCTTTCACAGTCAGAAATTGATTGTCCCCTTTAATTTCCTGCTCCACAAGGATGGTGACATGCAACCACACAGCCAGGGAAGGAACAGCCTAAGTGAGACTGACTGAGTGGAACTGCTGTGGAGAGTGTCAGTGTTAATCAACCAGAGGGATACCTGGCACACAGCACTGCCCATCAGGGCTTTGCTGCTCCCAGGGAAAGCACTCACAGCATTGATTAGCTGAAGAGGCTTCCTACTGGTATTTAAACTGGTGGGTAATGACTACAAGTAACATCAGGGCCACAAAAAACTATAAAAACATCCAGAGATGCTGCAGCTACTTTTCCAGCAGACAGCCTGGCACTGAGCTGTTCTAGGCTTTTCCTGGAAAGTTGCTTTAAGAGCCATCTATAACAAAAGCAAGAACTTTTGATTTCCAAACAACAGTTACAATTGATTCATGGCCACTCTTACAGACACTTGTCATCTCTTGAAGAAAGATTCCTAAATTTTAAAATTAAAATAATTGCAAGAGAGGTGTAATAAGTAACCAAACGGATCCAAGTTAAAATCTAACTATAATTTCAGAAAATTTCAGAATAAATGAGTTTTACTTTTTAAATAATTAAATAAGCATGAGAACTTCATAAACATAATATATATTTTATAGCAGTTATACAAACATATAAGCATGATAATTTCATAAACTATCAGTCAGAAATGGTTTCTCTTGCTAGGTTTACATGCAATAGCAATAATACAACTGCCTGTAATATTAAACCAAAACAGTAAATTGAAGGTGTGGTTATGGATTTGGGAAATACAGGAAATTTTAGTGTCAACAGTACCACCTGCTGGATATCATGAAGATAAGAGTTAGACACTAAGCAACATTTATAAAAGTTATGGTATAATTCGATAGTTACAAAAATGTCACCATAACTAAACTGTTACAAATGAATAGACAACAGATTGCTAAATGTTCTGATGTACTGCCAAAATCCTGTAGAAAGGTCACTGACATTTTCAATACGTATTTCTTGTTAAATCAGATATTCAAAACTCACTACATACAATTCATCAGATGAATTTTTAAAAAAATCAATCAATCAATCAAATCAATCAGCCTAGCGGCCCCATTTAAAAGAACCGTGCTACTACTGTTAATGACAATGTTAAATGTAGGGTTTGGTGGGGTTTTTTAAGTTAATTACATAACTAATGTGTTATTCTACTACAATAATTTTTGGCAGGGTGGAAGAAGTGGATGAAAATGCCCTCAAATCAGTAAAAGAAACACACACACACCCCCATCATCTGCTACTATTGAGCTACCAGACATTAACAATCTGGGGATATCCCAAAAGAAGTAGCTACTAAAGGACCTCAATCTAAGTGACTTCTTACTTCAGCAACAAAATCATCAGCCTTGAAAACCATCAGCGACAACCTGTAAGCTCTTTGATACAGAACACAAGTTGTTACTATGTTTCCTGCTACTTCTCAATACCCAACTTTCTGACTCTGTTGTGTAGGCACATTAAAAGAACTGAGGTTTTTCCTGAACGACTCACCTTTTCAGTTACCTGTCTGATCAGGTCACACTTCCTTCAGAAACCTGTGCTCTCTTTCTCCACGCAGGGTTCTGTCCAAGCAAGTTCTGTCAATCTTCTTCTAAATCTTAACACATCCAACAGTGGACTTACACCCAACAGTTCTAATCTGAAGCCTGACAAATACTGAGCACTTAAAGTTCCACAAAATAATGGAACCTCAATACTCTAAAAATAAATAACATTTAAAAAATGCTTTCATTACAAAGCAGGAAGTTAATTCCTAACAAACTACACTGTGGAGCAGGAAAGTTGCAGCACTTCCACTGCAGCTCCCAGGACGACACAACACAGCCAAGGTGCTCTGCTGAGCTTTTGTGCCCACCTGCACACAATCTCAGCCTCATTAGCAAGGGACAGGCAGCAGGTGAGCCTCTTTCTGCTCCCCCTTCCAGCACACCTCCTCAGTCTCCCACTATGCCAGTGAGACTTTCGATGGCCAGAAAGCCCAGGTCAGTGTTGTAGTTTGTGTGAAGTACTTAGTTCAACAATGCAGTAACCCCCTCTGATGACCTGACAGGCTTGAGAGGTGTGTCTGTGCGAGCCCCAGGAAGTTCAAGGCCGGGTGCGAGGTGCTGCACACGAATTGAGCCAATCCCAAGCACAAATACAAGCTAGGCAAGGAATGGATTGACAGCAGTCCTCGAGGGAAGGACTTGGGGGTGAGAAGCCCAACATAACTTGGCAATGTGCACTTGCAACCCAGAAAGCCAACTGGGCTGCATGAAAAGCAGTGTGACCAGCAGGTCGAGGGAGGCGATTCTGTTCCACTACTCTGCTCTCGTGAGACCCCACCTCAAGCACCGCATCCAGCTCTGGGGCCCCAACGTATGAAGGACCTGTTGGAATGAGTTCAGAGGAGGCCATGAAGACCTCCAGGGTGATGAAGCATCTCTCCTACACAGACAGGTTGAGAGAGTTGGTGTTGTTCAGCCTTGAGAAGCTCCAGGGAGACCTTAGAGCCCCTTCCAGCACCTAAAGGGGGCATACAAGAGAGCTGGAGAGGTTTACAAGGACATGCAGTGATACGACTAGCTTTAAAGGGAGAATGGCTTTAAACTGAAAGAGGGTAGATTTAGATCAGATATTAAGAGGAGGGTGGTGAGGCAGTGACAGAGGTTGCCTAGAGAAGCTGTGGGTGCCTCATCCCTGGAAATGTCCAAGCCCGGGTTGGATGGGGCTTTGAACAACCTGGTCTAGTGGAAGGTGTCACTGCCCATGACAGGGGCTTTTGAAACCAGATGGTCTTTAGGATCCCTTCCAACCCAAACCACGCTATGACTGTACACAACCTACATGATTCTATGCCTAATTACAGCTGCAGGGAACAAACACAGAAACTTAAATTCGTACTTTACAGTAATGTATGACATCCCAGGCTCATGGACTAAATGGCAGGACAAGAACATGGGTGCAAAAAGATATACCTTGTTTAAAATCACAGACGCAGACAAGAAGTTGGGTAGAAATTGCATGATGGTTTATGGAGAATACATATTACAGTCTCCACATAACCCTTGGGAATGGGTGCATGCTCCAACACTCAAATTCAGGAAATGCTGTTGAACAGGGTAATGCTGGAGTTGTTTTTTTCTTTTCTTTAAGAGGGAGAAATGGCAGAAAAGGCAGTGCCACATGAAAGGTGGAGTTCAGATTTTTGATCATCAGTCCCCCAGGAAAGTTGAGACCCTGGTGTTCTGTCTGTCAACACCTTGTAAGGAGACCCTTCACCGACAGATTCACAAGATCAGAGGGGACCTTGACCTCCCTTGTTAGGGGGAACTCAACAGAGCCAGAACCGCTCAGTGGGTCCTGCCAAGGTGTTTTCTGCTGCTGGCAACTGCAAGGACTCACTTTAACAGTTTATGGAATAATCCTTTTCATTAATACAAATTGTGACAGGTTATTAAGGTTCGATGGTTGTCAGTGATAGTGTCTACTGCAAAAATATGTTTTAAAGCAATCTACTGATACATATATTAAGTGAGCACAAGCTCTGATATAAAGCAATCTAATTAATATAGTATGGGGTAAGCACAAGTAAAAGCTCTAGTCCTAAAAGCAGCATTTAAAGCACTTAGAGTATGTTTCTCACCCAAGGCGTCCCTCTGAGAGGGGAAAGGATGGACTCAGCCCATAGACTGATGCCAGGAGTTTCATTGGAGATCTTCTCTGACTTTCCCCATCCCCACCTTACTTTTATACTATTTGCTTTCTGTGTGGGTGGAGTTTGAGTGGCTCTAGTCATAAATACCTTTTATTTCTTATCGGTGTACCTAATCGGAGGGGGGGGGTGGTCGTGGTTTGGCACCTGAGGAGGGGGTTCGACATGGTTGTTGGCTTCAGCAGCAGAACATCCTGATTCTCCCTAGTCAGACAGGTACTGTACTGTCTCAGTACCGCAATGTTCTCCCATTCTGCTGGGGTCAGAATGGAGAGGGGCCACGTAGTCTCCACTTGGTGCCACGCTCCGTTCTGTTCCTCTGAGCAGATGTTTATCGCTGTTTATGCCGGAGAGCATGCTGACCTCAGTCCGTCCAGGGAGTTGCAGCTGCTTGTTACCTTAGAATTCCGAACCCCCTCTAGGTTTAACTCCATCCATCACCCCACAGCCAGAAAAAGACACCACGGGGTGACAGCTACGCCGGCCCTCGCCAGCGCCGGGCGGGGAACGGGAGCACTGCCTACCGCCAGCGGGCCCTGAGCCCGGCACCGGCTGGGAAATCAATCACACAGCGGGCCCTCTGCCGCCACAGAACGACCTCCTTTTAATTAACTCCCGCAGGGATCTCGCCCGGCCCGGCCCGGCCCGGCCCCCGCGCCAGGCACAGGGCGGGGCGGGCGCCGCCGCGCGGGGCCGTGGGTGGGGCGCGGCCGCCTCCGCCGCGGGGCCTGCGGGCGGTCGGTCCCGCCATGGGGCAGTGCCTGCCCTGCCTGGGGGGCGCCGCCAAGGACGCGGTGGAGACGCCTGACCCGGTGAGTGTGTGACCGAGCCCCCCTGTCTCCCTCTTTCTCTCCTCGTCCTCCTCCCGCCCGGTTGTTTACCGGTGCCGCCCAGCGCCGCGGGGGCGGTGACCTCCCCCCTCAACATGGCGGCCGCGCCGCGGGGCTGCCGCGCACCCTGGCCGAAAGAAAAGGTTTTGTGGCGGCTGCTGCGGCTGCTGCAGCTGCTGCAGCGGCTGTGCCGGGGAAAGGAAGCCCGGCCCTCGGCCTGGGATGCGGAGAGCTGTGGGCCCGGGGCTGCCCGCTGGTGCTCTGACCCCCGGGCCGCGCCTGGGCGCCGGTGCGGGTGTGCGGAGACCGGGGTGGGGGTTCGCGTGGGGGGTGTTTGTGCGTAATCGTGGCCAGTGCGACCCACATTTTAACGAGAAGTGAGAAGGATTGGGCTTATCTCTTCGGTGCGTAGTGGTGCTCGCTTCTACCTGCCCTGCACCGGGTGGCGTTCTCGCTGGGTGGGTAGGAGCCCTCTTCTGAGCTGTCTGCCCCTCGGCTGAGGATTTCGTGGGGCAGGAGAAGGGGAGCCCCTTTGGCCTGGAAGAGCGAGCGTTCCCCTTTCCAAACTCCCGAAGGGATGCACACTGCGCGCCTTCTCACCCCAGCCTGGATTTTTGGAGTGAGGGCGTGATGCAGACAAGCTGAATAACGATTTCTGGTGGGGTTGGACGGTAAATGTGCCAGCAGCTGCTCTTCTGGCACATTAGTCACTGAAAACACCTCGTTTTTGCCGACTGGCAGTGAAGGGAAGGATGATGCTAATTGACTTAAGGTTGACATTTACTGGCAGTTCGCATCACAGATTTGAGTCATGCTTAAAAATTAAGACTTAAAAAAAAATGCACAGACTGTATTGGAATAAAATTTCACTGTCTTTAACATTTTATTTAGGAAATAAAAAGAAGACAGCTAGCAGAAGCTGCTGAAAAGAGGCAGATGGAGGTAACGTCTGATAAAACGCCATTTATTCAAACTACTTTTTATGGGGAAAAGAGCTGGGACTTCTGTGGGAATACTGGATGTCATGTTTGGATTGTGGGATTTGTCACTAAATAATGTCCTAGTATTATTAATGTTTTTTATACCTTTTTTATATGTATATTAAGAATTTCACAGCTAGGTAGATGCTCAAAGACCACTGCCAGGTAACTAAGTTTGTTTGGATGGGAGAAGTTTTATGGTAATTAAAAAAAACAACCTAAGAATTGAAAGTTCAAGTTCAACGCTATTTTTTCCTTGTTCTGAGACTTGAAAACAAGAAGATGAGAAATATTTCAAACCAGAGCAGACAAACAGTTGTTTGTACTTCTTAAAAAAATGCCAGTTATATGCACTTGCAACTTCAGTTTATCAATGTGGCAACAGTTTGAGCATGTTTATCAGCTCAAAGTCCTGCAAAGACTTAGTATGAACTTACTCTTCTATCTTTTTAAGGTTGCTAAGCTTTAACTCCTTCAATATCTTTGAAGTTAAAAAAGGTAGGATGCAAATGTTCTAGCAGACCATAAAACTAGCCAGTCTGGTTTTTTTCTTTCCATACCTCCCAAAAAAGCTTATAAATAAACTCTTTACTTATTGTAGATTTTGAATGGTGTATCTCGGAGACCATAGCTGAACTGTGAAGAGAAAGGAACGTGTTATTTATATGAATGTCAGTGACATTTAAACATTGAATTAGAAATCGACCATTGATCATGGGGACCGTGTTGGCCTTGTTTGAAGAGAGTTTGCTAAATAATTGAAGCAAAGGCTGAGTGATGCTTTAGAGTCCTTTAAAACCTCTTGATTTTGTTTCATACTATGTACTAAAAGCAATTCACGTGTTATTTTTAATCACAAGTGGGTTTCAATCGCAAAGGGGTTTTTAAGCATAACTTTAGGAAATACTTAGTTCTTAACTGGCTAAAGAGAAAGGAAAAATGAAGTAACTTGGGTTGTGGATGGCCTTGAAGTTTTGTAGGACCTGTTAGGCTGCTAAAGAAAACCGAAAGTATCACACTCTCTTACTTTTTTTTGTGTTCTTGAAAGACAAAGAGATAAAAAATCTACCAGGATTTTTCACTGCTATCTTTGAGAGCATTTTACCCTCTGAATGGTGGGTAATGGAGATGTCTTTCTCTGCTTAGTGTTTTCCTGTAAATGCTTCTTAACTGCTC